TATTTTTGTATGTTATGTATAAATATTCTCAAATACAGAAAATATTACAAACTGTACAGCAAGAGTTTTTTTATTATTATTATTATGAGCAATCATTTGACACAGGAAATCATATCCTTTGAACTGTGTAGCTGGTATATGTACATTAGTGTGATTATTATGGTGTAATCTTTGTTAACTGCCATGAATAAAGTCAGTACTATATAATTCTGTTTTGAGAGCAGACAGCCAAACCAGTACTGTCATGATAAATCCAGTCTTTCCCCTTCACTTTGATCATTTCAATAATCTGCTCCTACAAAGTGGAATTCACCACTGATTCAAGTCGTTTAGATTAAAAACACTAATGATTTTTCCTACCAAAATGAAGTAGCTACTTGCATATGGAAATTAATCCAGATTTACAACAAGTATTATGTGCTATATAGCCAACATGTTATACACAACTCACAGTATTTTGTACCTGACTTCAGTCATTACCTGTTGTGTAGCCTCTGTACTCAGAAATGGCTAGATATAAATTAAAGGGACTATCCAACTTTGCAGGCAAATGATGGATACCAGTTTATAATCTATTTAGTATCCTTAGCCTAGAGATGAAAATTATATAAAAAAAGTTATCTGTAGCCAAGCGAAGTTATTTTTAACATATTTCACAAATATAACATATTACTGTCAAATTATTAAATAGATTTACTCATCTATATTTAGAGGCAGTCACACTTAAGAAATACATACTGGGATAATTCTAACATTCTTCTGAGGTAGGTTTCTAGAACAGATTGTTAACACACCCAGTTCAAAACAGCAACTACTGCAAAAAAAAAATAAGTTAAAGAATGCATAAAAGAGGCAGAGTAAAAGCCTCTAGAAGTTCAGTATTTTTCACTAAGCCTGTAAGACACTTACTGTGTGTTTATGTGTGTGTGCTTGCATACTTTCCCCTCATTACCTCCTCCCTTCTTTACCACAGTATGATGTGCGATGTAGCATGTGTTGTATATAACTGAAGTAGGTTTTTTAATATATTAGATTACCCGTCATATTGTAATTCTTTAATAAAGCAACAAATGTTATTTTGACATGTTCAGATTTCATCCTGTTTTAGTTCAGATTACTTAATTTCACATCACTGCCTCGTGACTTAAATCAACCCTGATATACAACTACTATTCATGTGTGTTGTGTTTAACTATTGCAAACATCAAAGCAAAACAATTTTCACCTGAGAAAAATACTGAATTTCCACATAGTCCAACAAGGAAGGACTCTTTGTAGGTCATCTGAAAAGCCCTAAATTGTCAAACAGTATTCAAGGTTTACCTGCTACTGGTTTAGCTACTGAACTCTGGAAAAGATTTAGGTAAGAAATATTAAACACACCTACTGGCCTAGAGCTGGCCAGAGTGCTCTACCAAATAGGCTTTAAACCCCTGTCCAAGATGACAGTCTTTTGTTAAAATAATCATATTTCTTAACCTTTCTACCTAAAAGGTGAGTGATTTACCTAGAGACTCGTCCATGTAATTAAAAACGATAATGCACAGAAGTCAGGTTACGAAGACCTGGAGATATGTCTGAGAACAGAACTTAATTTTTTACATAAAATTTGCATAAAATAATTTTAAACACAGAGGCTGGCACATCAAAAACAATTAAACATAGGGAATTTGGAACTTATACAGTGAAGTTATTGGCAAGTATATTGGCAGAATCACAGATTTGCAAAATTTCATTATGCTTATTTTTTTTAAATTCACACAACAGAACTGTTTGCACTAGATCCCTCTACTATAGCAATGCCACAACTATAAACTATGAAAGGCCTTAGTTTTTCCTGTTCCCCTCATTTTCTCCAATTGTTTCAATTACATTCTTATTTCATCACTCCCCAAAAGTACATCTCTGACAACACCATGCTGTCTAAAAATCATATACAGTACACTTACACACCTATCATTAGTAAAAGGTGAGTTTATATAGGAGAGAACTGCAGCACTATGGAGAATAACAGCTTCGATTCTCCTGTAATCCTCCTTCATTTAAGAAGTACCATAGAAATAGTTCTGCAACAGCAAACTCCTAGAAACTTAGGTTGCTCTTCAGAATTTTTGAAATATCTCTACCTTTTTCAAAAGAGTAAAGAAAATTCTGTCAACTAATACATTATCTATGTATCAGGAATGAAACAGCGGGGATCCACCTACAGCACTGAAGACAAAAAGCTCTCTCACAAGACTGAAGTTACTTCAGAAGACAACCAGTTATTCTCTTGCATACATATTTCCTAACAGTTCTTTCCTGAAACTCTTCTATTATCATTCAAAATTTTCAGCATTAGCCCCATTGTTATATTCCAAGGAAAAAAAAAAAAGCAAACAACACAACAAAACACCACAACTCAGTGAACCCTGTAGATTATAACAGATGATACCCATCTTTGTCTATCCCGTAACATACAGATACAACCTGAAAGATCACCAGCAGTGAAGACAGGAAAAAGCTGTAGGTAGCCACCACACACTTCAAAACACTGCGACTGCTATTTTTTTCTTAGATCACACTGTGGCTAAATGCTTCCAACAGTTCACATTACAGCCTTGCCAATCCCATGATTGATTGATTTCTTTCTTTCTCTCTTTTTAAACTTGGAAGACCTGTCTGGAAACAAAACAACTGTTGGATGTTTTAATGGTACTTTAAAACATCGTAAGGAATATATTAGTCTCTCATATTACAGCCTGAGGTTGTAAACATACCAGTAATTGTCTCCTGTATTGATTACTTGAAGGTTCAACTGCACCTCTTAGGATGCAGGGAAAACCTTACTTTACAAGAGCAGAAACACTGCTTAGTCTTTCCAATCAGCAGGGAGAGGGCCTCTGATGCACGAAACCCGAAATACAACATATGCAGCAGGATTCAAAGTCTCCAGGAGGCTGCCTAGACACCAGCAGGAACTTCAGATTCAACCTTGTAATTCAGTAACGGATTTTTTCCTTTCACTTTCATTACCCAGGTCTTTTATTAGGCTTGTAACACACATTCATTCCAGAAATGTTTTAATTTTTATTTAGGACTGGCTTGATGTCCTAATAACTGGGTAGTATTAAAACATTCCTTACACAAGGGCGTGAGCCAATTCTATAAATGAGAGTACCTAGACAACTTCAGTGGATGTTTAGCTTCCCAGTACGTTCTCCAGCTCATTTCAAACAATCTCAGGCTGTCATAGATGGAATGAGAACACAACTAAGTAACTTTCTTGCAGTGAGACAAGAGGCTCAGCATGAAATGTGACCCCCATTAACTGTACATCTTTAGACTCTGTCACTCTCATTCACTTGTTTTATATTCACTACTTACTCCTAACATGATCTATCAGTCTACTTGTTCATTTAAACAGACTAAAGAAGCTGTTCTATACGTAATGCTGTTTTCCTCGAGAAGATACTTATTCACTGAAACTAGTCCCCTTTGAATATTCTGATAAGCTAAATATTCCTTTAACCTGAAATTATTTTCTAAGAAGTTTCAATAACTCATACCAAGTTCTCAACACTTTTTTTAAGTACGGCCACTAGGGATGGCCAAATTTATTAAATAAGAAATATTTTAGATAAGCATCCACAGCAATTTGTGCTGGGACTCATGCTGCTCAACATATTTGCAAGTGACCTGAAAACGGGAGTGAACAATGGAACAAAAATCTGCTGATAATATTAACTAATTCAGGGGAGCAAAGAGAAGGTCTGACTGAGAGGAACTGCAGAAAGATTTATGAGATAAGCTGCTTGAACAGTAAAACAGAAAATGAAAGATCTACAGACAGCATTAGATACAAGGGGGAAAAAAGTCTTAACTTTCCATATAAAAATAAAAAGGGCAAACCACCGCAAATAAAGCATAATCTTGGGATTTCAATAAACAGTTCCTGATGGCTACTAAACATTGACCTAACAGAATGTTAGGGATTATTAAGCAGAGCACAAAAAAACTTTCTGAAGTAACAGTATAAATCTAACTCACATTTCTACCTTGCATTTTGCAGGCAGTCCATGTGCACTCTCTCCCACTAAAAAAAGGATCCAGGACTGAAACACTGCCTTGGCAGGTTGTCAAGGATGCCAACTGGCATCTGTACAAGGCATGCTCAAGTAATCCAAGGACTCCTCCTTTTGGAAGAGAGCTAACTGAAGATTTAGTGGGAAGGCAACAGAGATAATGACTGAAGTCCATCATGTCAGGAGTAGCCTCAAGTTGCACAAGAAACAAGGTAGGGTTTATCTAGTGAAGGTAGAAAATACCATGTTCAATTCAAGCAAAGAATGTGGTACTGGACAGAGCTGAGGAAATCCTGCCAGCTGGGTGCCAAGCGTGCAAGGAGCCTACAAGTGTTTAAAGAGAGAGTGTAAGAGTTCATGACGAGGAATGCATCGAGGCATTGGGGGTCACTAATACAGAGACAGCAGTTCTGGTCCAGGAAGCCTGAGCAGAATTCCTGATCTCTTGTTATCCAGGTTCAGTGATTTAAAAACATCAACCCTTTTTAGCTCCAGTTTAGCATCATACTAAATCACAAGTAAAACCATTAAACAGTTCATTATATTGGACTACATTCACTAACAATGACCTGTGTGCAGAAATATTCCCAGGTGAAATACTGACTACAAAAACAGTTCACCAAATGGCTACTTGGTGCATGTCACAAAAGAACAGGAGACAGTATGAACACTGGACAGCATTTTAACTACAGGTCTTCTTTTTAATACATCTTTATGTTGTATTACACATGTATTTATTCAGCACCCGAGAGAAATACTCATTCCAAAAGTACATATGCATTTGTATGACGTAAAAATCTCAACCTAACCCCATTTTTCTGAATAGGAAATGGAGTGAACCATTCCTTCTATATACAGTATTCTTCATGTGCACAACATGTCAGTCATTAGTACTTGTCAGTCAATGGGCTACAGATAAATAAGGTTCACACTCACCTAAATATGGAATTGTAGGAACCATTTTTAAGCTTCTGATGTACTCTCGTGTCCTCTTGTAATTATCTTCCTTAGACAGTAAGTAGTCCAACTTCTCAAAGGTGGTCTTGTCTTTACGATTCAGAAGCTACAGAGAACATGTAGATCATAAAATTTTAAAAGACAAGTCCCCACAAAGCCAACAACAATCAGTAGCTTGCTGAATCACACAAAGAAAAGCATAGTAAATTTAAGACTAAATTCATTATCATCACTCAAACCAGCATAATGTTTGAAAATGTGCTACCTGTTAAGAAAAAAAGAAGCAATTCAGCACAAGTCTTAAGCTATGAACAAATATGACCATTATTTCTGAATACTTTGTTAAGGATTCCCATATCACTACATCAGTTTTGAATAAGATCAGCAATATTACATTTTTGGAGAAAAAGTATTTATTATACAGTCACCAATGTTCTCATAATTCATCAGAACTGCTAAAATCCTCTGAATTTAAAAGTACAAACAACAATGGAAAATGCTCTAAATAAATGTAAATTGTGCCATTTCAACAGTGTCTTATTAAAAGTCAAGTTTTGGAAGAAAGTATTAAGAAAGTAAACCATTTTGATATTAAATCTACATTTTCTATTGCTAGACTTACTACAGAAAACCAGAAAAACATACAGTAATGCAAAAATCCTAGTGACAGAAGACTGAAAAGTAAACATGATAGGCAACTGTAGCTATAAAAACACATTCCCTGTTTCAGCTGGTTTAAGAAACCCCAGCAGTATTTTTAAGATGGTTTTAGAAGCCACTTGAGTCAGAGTGAGTGGAGAATTATGGCACTATACACTGGCTTCTTGCATGTGTCCTTTCTGATAGTAGACAGCTGCTCCATAGCACATTCCTTCATAAACTCTTCCTCTGGAAAATTCCAGTTCTTGTACTACTTAGCTTGTACTACTAGCTCTTAATAAAAAAATAACAAAAAGGAGACGAATGAAAATATTTCAGGATAATTGTGCTGTTTTCTTTTAATCACCACTGAGAATTCCTTGAGGCCCTGACTCTGCAACGTATTTTATTTTTGAACTACTGTGCCTACAAAGAGCCTCACACCTCTTTAGGTCTAAGTCAAATCAGTCACACGCTTGATGGGAGCAAATTTCCCTGTTTATCTTCCAACAGAAAGGACAATAGTCAAGGTAACACTTACAGCCCAGGTTTTGGTCAGCCTGAAGATGGGTGCGCTTTGCAGTGCTGACACCACAGACATCAGAGAATGAAGGTTATTCAGTTCTAGAAGCTTCTGAAAAAAGAGAATAATAGCTTTTAGCACATTGAAAAGGGACACAAAATTAATTAATCTCAAAGTTGCATTAATAAACCATGATTTTTTTCATTAATAAAATATAACATTTCCATCAATGACTACAGACAACGATATTATCCAATGCTGTCATGTGCAAAATTCTTAAGACCACTTTAAAAGTTGCCAATTTTCCAAATATATCCATTGATACAACAGGCATTTCAGTTGTGAGAATATAAACTGTATTTGACTTGAATTTGTTATTTTCTAAGGCTGTTCCTCCAGGAACAGAAAATAGGAAAAAATTATTTGACATATGGTTCTTGCAAATTGGTATAACTGGAGAAATTAAAATTGAATCAAGCCAAAAACATCCCCCAAAGATGCTGACGACCCTCTCAGAATTAAAACAATGCTTGATTTTGTAATCTGTTTCACAGGAAAAATTCGCCTCACTTCAATGTACTTTATATTTACTCTGTGTTGACAATTACTCAAAACACGTTGGTCTCCAGTAGACAATACTTGGGAATAAAGCTGTCTCAAACGATAATGCTTGCTACAACATAGTTCCAGTAAAATAAAAAAATGAGAATTGCTGTCATGGAGCTTCTTTGTAAATCTTAAAAAGAAGCTGGGTTCATCCTTGAGTGATCCACTTATTCATTGCCCAGAAGCATTTCAGGAAGATCTGGACTTTATTGAGGGAAAAGAAGGAAAGGGAAAAAAGCAAAGAGAAAAAAAGAGGGTAGTGTTCCCCTTTTCGCAAGAGAAAAATCCCCCAAACAAACACTGTAACTCTTATTTCTAAGAACAACCCAGGACCTCCAAGTTGACCATCGTCCTAGTACTTGGACTACGCATTTGTACCAGGAACTCATGCAGACAAATTTTCTTCTATAAGCACAAAAATACTAAGTAAACTAATTGGAAATATTCACAATACAAAGAAGTTTTGTATAAAACTTTTTATAAAACTTCAAGAGTAAAATATAGAGCTTGAAGTCACTACAATAACAGAGCTTTATCAGCAGTACTTTATACCAGCAAGTACACATTACAAGTAGGAATATAAGTCTCAAAACAGCTGCTTTAGAAGCAAGAAATTTCTTTTCATAGAATTTTGAAAATGGTGGGAGACAAAATCCAGAACGGTTTACAACCACATTTGACATTAGCAACAAACAGTTGACCATCAACAAGCCAAACCACTTTTAAACTTGGTAGGCAGAGGTCCAAGGTGAGTCCCACTGAACTGGGTAGTTTCATCTAATCAAGTAGAAAAGAACAGTTGTTACACCTTTATCCTATTCAAGTGGTACAACGTAGCAGACATACCAAACCAGAACATTACCCTCGCAATCCAAGAATGGTTCACAGGGGTAGTGCAGAAACAAACAAATAGCAATTAAGAGTTTGAACGATAGTATAAGAACGTTGCACTTACTTTAGCTATTTTCACAAAATGGCTCAATATTTCTGCCCTTATTTTTAAGGTCTGTGCTGTTAATATTTCTCGTACAACCCAAAAACTGACCTATAAAGTAAACACATATAACTTAAATTATTTACAAAAAAATGGACTTTATTAGATGAAATATTTGCAAACTTTCAAGATGCTCCAGGGAGAAAACAGGGTAAGGAAAGAAAAGAGTTCTTATCCCATGAATTCTCATCTGTATCATTGCAACTGCCCCAAAGTTTTACCACTGGGTATAAGAGGTAGGTAGAGAAGTGAGGCAACACCAAGATAACTGAAAGAGCAAGTGAAACACAGAAAAAAAGGAACAGAATTGCTAATGTTGTACCATGACACAATAGCAAAATACATTAGGAACAAATGGTCTAGAGGAAAAACATGAAAATGTGGACAAAGCAATTGAAAACAAGAACTGTCATTTAAAAATCTTAATCCTCATTTGGAAAGATAGTGTTAATTCACAAGAATAGTTGTGTTCAGACTCAAAGACAACTGCCAAACAGTACCTGTTCATGACAGTAATCAAATTATTTACCTGGTTAAACCTCCTAGTAAAGGCAACAATATTTGGAGCGAGGATATGTTTTTCTTTCTTATTCCATCCACAGCTGGCTAGTTCCTAGGAAACACATTTAAAAATTGCCTTGAAAACCAGAAATGAGTCCTCCTTAACACCAGTTCTAAATCATTCTTCTTTTCTTAGAACCACAAATTCAGTTTCAATCAAAATATTGTTCAACTTTCCAAATGTGTACTACTAACTTTGGAGGCCTTTACATGAAAAGGCAGAGTCAGCCAAAGAGAATTCTACCTCTGAAAAGCACTTTGCACATGATGATAAATGGAACATACACTAGAGATCCGCATGTGCCTGTGTGAGCATCAGGAAAAGCACTTCCAAACATATTCTGAATCCCAATCTCCAGCACTTAAACCTTTTGCACATAAAAATGCCAATTTATATCCGACAAGACACAGATTCTACACATGATCAGTCCATGTCTATCTTATGAGACTGGAAATCATATGTTTATGTAGAAAAAGAATCTGAGACACTCTACGAGGGACAGCAAAATCTACTTTCATCAGAGAAGTCAAAGAGGTCAGTAACCTAAGGATATTAAGCAGTTGCCAGAGGGCTAGTAAGCAACAATGGAAAATCCTGTGCATGGCAAAATCATTTGACGAGGTTTCAAATCTGAACTGGATAGGAAGGTTGATAAATGATCCCACATACCCCTCTTGAATTTTTTTTATACTGTTGAAAGACACTGTGTTCTAGAAGCACACTTCATCCCTTTTTTTTGTATGGAAGAATGCTGGCAGTTTCCTCAATGCACGCAGTCACAAGAAACTTTCCCATCAAGTGTGCAAGAAAACCCTGAAATTTGTGGAGATTGCAAACTTCAGGACTTGGAAAAAACTCTAAATAAAGTTACACAGAAATTGAGAATGTATGGGTAGTTATTTCTGCTGGAGAACAAAGAATTGTTAACCAGACATCCTCTTACTGAACTTTGCACAGTAACATGCAGATGTGTTTTTTAGTAATAGCTGTCAAAAAGCAGGATAAAACCCCAGAAAGTGCCAGGTTTAAAGGATGTTTGTGTGTTTGAGATAAGACTTGGCAACTAGAACTCTAAAATCTTAAGTATTTCCATCTATGCATAGGCCCATGTTAAAAGAATAAAACAGTAAGTTTCAACCAGAAAATGTTAACCTTCTTAGTCTAATAACTTATCTAATAACAAAATGGAGGTTGATGACAAATACACAAACTATTTCTTGCTTTAAAACCTAGTCCTACAGTTAGCAGAATTTCAGGATAGAAGCAATTGTTTATTTTTGGCAAACAAATAATATTGGTAATTCCAATAAAGTGAAAGTCAGAAAGCACAATTAAAAAACTAACAGTTTATGGCAACTGCCACTTATTCACAAACCTGAATTCTAGAAGGAGCTGAAAATACGTTAGTTTTTTTCTGATAACTCCTCACTAAGTTACATCTATCTGCCAGAGTAGCATTTCAGGAAATTTCATTTCCAAAAGTCAAAACGAAGCAATGACAAAGGAAAAGAAGAACAGTAAATTGGTATTTTGTTTTGCTATAAAATTATATGGCAAAGATGTTTCATAGCAACTAAAGCAAATGCAAAATTCACTTTAAATATCAGTATCTATAGTTTTATATTTTATTTTTTTGTTCATTCATCTCCTCAGAGTATGACACTGGCTTTACTTTTGGCAGAGGTAGTTAGAACAAAAAAAACCATCTGTTTTATTTTAACTGATATTTTTCTTAACAAAATTTCTTCACAAAAAGTATCTACGTATCAGTTTGTAAATATTGGTAGTTTTGTGTTAGCAGATTTTTCTATGGGTATTGATGGTTTCTTATCACATTGTTCATTTGCCATTTTTTTCCCTGCAGGAAAGAAGTCTCCCCAGCTGCCTGGAGAACACATGCAATTTCAGAAGCATGCAAGTGTTTTCAGCAACCAAACTGTCTTGGTGTTTTTTCAGGGGGAAGGACAAAAAAAAAAAAAAAAAGATTAATTTATCTGACAGGAAGGACAGACATCAGACAGACAAATTTTTATTTTCTTTCCTATACTTTCTCAAAATAGAGGGCTGGTAATCTCTCTGAACGATGGTAAATATAGGATAACTTGTTTTCTTGGTGATCAAATTAGATGGATTGAGCTTCTACTAAGAACCTTCTAGACTTGACTGCCCCTACTGATGTTGTCAGAAATTCAGTTCCACTGACAGAAGGGAGGGGTGGAGTTGTCCTTTAAATATATTCATGATATTCCACCTAAGGAAGACAAGAAGCCATAATGGATCTAAGGATATGTTCTTATGCTGAAGCACCTGAAGGAGGAATCGTGTGATTCTTGTACCTTCTGCAGTAAATATATTTATTTAATCAAAATACCGAGATGATGTTTTTATGCCAATTTATCATATTGTGATAACTACCTTTATTAATTTCTGAAGTTCTTATTTCTAATTTTCAAATGCCTATGTTAACTTTCATGGCTTTTCCTCAACAGGCCTCAAGTTGCTTTCTTTAAACATTAAAAACTTAAAGGACACTAACACATTAACTTTTAAGGGCTTGGGCTGATTTACTCCCTCAGAATTGAATCTTAAACGTGACTGTACAAATTAAAAAGCTTACCAAGTGGCTGATGCAGCCTAAAATACAGGTTATGGCCAGAGGCATGAGTCAAACTCTGAAATCAGATGTGCATTGAAAAACAGCACCAGAAGGGAGAGTAAAGAATTTTTACATTTGATAAATTTATCCTGAAGAAACGCTCAACACAAAGCAGGACAGGAAGACTTCCAGAAGACAGTCATCTCCTTTGGCAACAAGCAACAAATCAAAGTAACTCAGGCGGGGTTACAGATTCACAGTGCTAACAAGCAATAAGCCTAGAAGAATATTAGTGCAGTGCAAGACGGTGAGCATTTTTGAATAAAAAAGCATTATTTAAATGGTTACATTTCCTCAGGCAGTGATTTCCAAAGATGTAAGCAGACGGTTTAAGAAAACCTACCTCAGGCTGTATAGCTTTAAATACTGGCATATCCATCAACGTTATCTGACTCTGAAATAAAGACAGAATTTTAAATCATGTAATATGAAGAGCTAACAATGACATATTTCCATCTGCCCTTCAATAACTACGAACCATCCGCATGTTCCTCACAGACCAGAACTGACCAGCCTAAGTTTGGCCCCCTTGCTTCAGCCTGATACACGAGCACAAACACCCCATCCTGAGAGGCACCATGTTACACTCTGGTTGTCCCCCGCTGAAGAATTTCAGTACCTGTGCCAGTCTAAGGGGACAAACCTGTGCTTGAGAGTCTTCCTCTTATGTAATAAAGAGTCTGGACAGTAACGGCAGGAAGAATTATTTCACACAGAGAACAGCATACATTTGACATTCACTGGGCTGAAAGGCAATAAATTATTATGTGTTAATTAGTTATGACTGGAATAGGCTTTAAGGGAATCATACAGAGATTTTCAGTCCCAAAGACACACAGTTAAATTTCTGGTTTCTCTGCAGGTTGGTAGGGTCTTTGTTTTGCTCATGGCTACAGCTGGCAAATGGGACTGGAGAGAAAAAAGCAGTTTACAGAAGTTTGGAATTGAGAGTTAAAAAATATGTTACAATGATATAAGGGGGTGTGGCTACATATAGGTATGTTTTTAAAGTGTAGCACTAAATCAAGACCCTCATCAACAAGCTTCCATCTCAAACCAACAGCAGCTGGAATAGAAAACTGATGAGCCTGAAGTTACGAGCAACCTTACCTTGACTCGATCATTTTATAGATACATTTCCAGGTTAACCACAAATGTAGGACTACACTCTATGTTCTGGGCTGTCTTTGGACTTAATATTCATACTGTGATGAAATCAGACATATCTATTTTCATACCATTTTACAGTCCTGTCTAATTGTGGCTCTGTTAATTTCTGAAGGCAGTCCATGGCCATGGATCATCTGAACTTGGACAAACAGGAATGATTTTTAACTGAGTTGATGCAGATTTGCCATCCAAGTATTTTTATAATTTTACCTAACAACAGCTCTCATCTGTGTAGTGTGTATTAGTGTTCAAAAAGACCCACACAAATCTGTTCCAAAGCGACAAACTTATGGGAATAAGGTAGGCCTATCTCCAAGACTTTTTTTTGGCAAACAGGTATTATACAAACTTTTGCCAAATAACAAAACATCATTTTGATGCTTAGAATGTTAATGAAAACATTCAACTATGTACAGTAGCTTTTATCCTCACTCCTTCCTGCTCTCCAGCAAGTTAACATGCAAATTAAAAACAAGGGGCAAGGGACAAGAATTGCACTGAATGTTTGCCAAAACTGCAGTTCTGTTTTCGGTTTAGCACTGAAAAACTGGTATTAAGGAATGCCAATTGTTTCCTCTCTACAACCTTCTTCCTTGCTTTTAAGAAACTGATTTTTCTGAGAAAATAATGTTTCAGCAGAAAAGATGAGTATTTGTGGTTTCAGTTAAAAAAAACTGAACCAGACTGTGTTTAGTGGGCGTGGTGGTATTAAGTCAAAGGTTGGACTTGATGATCTTGCAGCTCTTTTCCAATCTTTAGCAGTCTATGATTCTATATGTAACATCTTTAAACCTATTCTAGGATTTTTAAAACACTAGTAAAAATTCAGATGGCTTCACATAGGAAAACAAATATGCTGTGTCAGGTCAGTACCAAGTAATTAAATGCCAAGACATGTTTATTTTGTTGAAGTTGATATAATCAGAAATTTGCTTTCAAGAACACTGGAAGTTCATTTAAAAATATTTTTTTTAAGCAGAAAGTTTTATAGATTTTTTTTTTTGTACCCTGCAAGCCTTGAATGTTATACAAGCTTAAATGCAAAAATAACATTTCTACTTACAGCAAACTCCTCAGGAGTTACTTTCAACACATCAAATACAACTGCATCGTAGCTTTTATTGGCATAATCTGAACTTCGCCCTTCCAGAGAATCTGAGCTGCTACTACCCTACAAAGAAAAAATAGTAGGCTTATCTGCAGAATGATGAATTGCATCTCAAATTCAGAAAATAAATATGTGTAAAAATACTAAGTAATGACAACAAAATGTATGAAATTCAGACACCGAATTATAAAATTTAGTTTAGGACTGTTCACTAATGTTTCTGACTTTCTTCTGCAGACTTTAGTGACATACAATTTTAGCTCTACAAAATTTCCAGCTTTAGTAAACCACTTTTAAAATCACAAACTAAATAAAAGAGCTTAATATTTAAATTAAATACGCAACGTAAAAAGTGGGTAGATCCAAGTCAAGCTGCTCTATCCATAACTTTATAAACAAGGGAAAAATTGACACATCCTGAAATTTAACTGGGAAACTACTGATCAGGAAGCCTGACATTTGCGCTGGTCAAACCCAAGAAGAGAATAAAGGGGCATTAGCAGAAAGGCAGATAGGTATGCTTCATCATGAAAGTGCGAAGTCAGCATTCAGAAAGAGAAGCACTGCCTCAGTATCGACAGACGTGTGGGTAAAGGATCAAGATTAATACAGTCTTGTTAGACTTCCAAAGATTTTTCATGTGGTTCGTCACTCCAAAGCCATTAAGCCCTAGCATAGACTGTCCTTGCAATGATAAAAAATTATTTACAAGACAGTTGTTACAAGAACTAGAAATATGTTAATCAGCAGAGAATTATGCATAGATAAGTGATGTTTATTATATATTCAACAACCTGGAAAACAGTGTAGAATTATTGCAGACTATGGATTTTCATTTTATTTATTTAAATGTGGAAAAAAACCCCCAAAACTGGCAATGAAAAACTGAAAAGGGCCTTCACAAGATTTGACTAAGTCTGGAAAAGGAAAGGAAAAAATATATAATTCATTATGAATATGCTCCTTTATAAATCCATGGTGCACCCAACTCTGGAATACATATGCAGTATAAGTCTCCATTTTAAAGCTGGAAAGAAGTACCACCAATCCCACATTTAAAATGTGGGCTTTACTGGGCAAGCTTTACCGTAGCTGATTTATAATATTTCATCATAATATTAGATGAAAGTAGAAAAACCAGAAAAGCTCAGTGGGGGCAGTAATTCCCAAGCAGTGCTCCCTTGCCTCTCATGGAGCTGTGCACTGCAGTTCAACACAGAATGAGGCAGTTTCTGGAAGCAACACAAAAAAGCTACATGGTCTGCAAAGGATACAAAAGGTTAACGTGAACAAAATCTTAGAGCACTTTTTTACTAGCAGACTAGTAAATTGAAAAAAAAAAAAAAGAAGAAAAAATGCAATTGGATATTTCTGGCTCAATTTTGATGGTACATTACGTTGCTCTTAATTGAAAAATAATAAACGGCTGCTCTAAGTTACAGAATGACAGGTCAAAAATGCTATTTAAAACTAATCAAAATGAGTAATCATCATCAACAATGACAAAAAAAAGTGTCTGTGAACACTAAGAACCACGGAGTGTTCTAAAATTACTCTGCTGTCATGCCAGTCCTTTTTCTTACAAACGGTGTGGCATTTGACTAGTAGTGGAAAGGGCTTCTGCAAAAGCTGAAAAGCCAAAATTTCCAATTTGATATAGGAGCTAATAAAATCCAAGGAACTGTACCTCTGGAGTGGCAGAGGTGACCATCACATTGGCCATGAAGTCATTCCTTTTATACATGCTCTCCCCAAGACACAGGAAGTTTCAGCTCAGCCAGCACTGGTTGAAAACAGAAAACAGAAATTCCTGCAAAGCAAATGTATTTGGGGAAATAAATAAACTTTATAAAAACACCACAACACACACACACACACACGCACAAAAAAACCCCATCCATAAAGGAGATTTCATTTTTCTTTCTCAGAGCAAAGAACTTATGAAACAAGATTATCTCAGGAGACAGATTCTCTTTTCTTTTCCAGGTACCAAACTGTAAACGAGTACAAGCAAATATCGCTAAAGTCACGCCAAGTCCTTATCCCTACTTCCACTCATCTCAAGAATTATGGGGAAAACAGAATATTGTTTATCATTGTCGCTGAATTAGGTTATATATGAAGTCCCTGCCAGGCAGTATGCATCCAGAAACTGTAGGCTACCAAGAACTGCTTACACAACTACCAAGTCAGATCAAGCTCTGGTTCTGTTTACACTGAGCAAACAAACAGCAGGGTGGTTTCATCATTCCCTATGGCACACATAGATGAGTTCCATGGCCACCACTGCCACTGACTCCTGCACATGGACTCTGTCAGCAAAATCCGTAGTTGCTCAAATATGCAACTAGGGATACTCTGCCGCATGTCCCTCTGCATCCTTGCTCCTCCCCACAGCACTGATTACACCAACAGGAAAATGCTGGAAACGCAAACAGCTGAGAATAAAAAGAACCTCTTATTTACCCTCTTTAGAAGGATTGAGGTCTTCACTTCTCAACCCTACAAAGACAAAAACCAATTCTCCCCACTGTCTCACATGAAACAAGGCAGTAATGGTGCTTCAAAGAATGCCAAAATCTCCTGTTAGACAAGTCAAGAAGCAACTTCCTTTATCTTGTGTCCTGATAAAATTAACTCATATTTTGAGCGCTAACAGACTGCAAAGTATTTCTAGGTCTGGAGTTGCTCCTGTTAATAGTCCTTAGAGATACTGAATTGGAAAGCAATTTTGCAGATGTAATTTCTTTAATATGTGGCATTTACATCAGGGCCACAAAAATATACTTATGTCCTCCTTCCCTGCCTTTTTGACTAGGCTTTCCAGTGTATGGGGGCTCCAAAATGCTCCAAAAATGGGAAGAAAAATCCCATATGTGAACTTGTATACTGCCTAAATTCAGTTTTACTCCAAATTTTAATGTTCATTATATCCAAATGAGACAGAAGTGCTCTAATATCTGAAACCAAAAGCACCAATGTACTTTTGCCTTTCAACGTTCAGTACATACAATAAAGCTTGCAAGGCTAGAAACTTTCATTCTAGAAAGCATCGAAATAGATTTTTCCCCCTAAATGTCTCAAATATAACACAAGCATTAAAAATGCACTGCTTTTTCCTATGTGTAGAGGTTTCTCCAAGATCTACATCTATAAAAAAAATACTTCTATACACACCCATTTGCTTTGCTGCCTTGAGGAAAGTCAGAGAGAGCAATTATCCTTTTATGTCAAATCCACCTAGTCATTTGAAGTATTTCTACACCTGCTATCACAGAAAGGATCACTCTGCACACAGAGTAACACAGGAGCTAATACTAAGCCTACTGTAACAAGAGGCTGTCAGACAACATAAAGATATTAAAAACAATGCTCCCCCCCACACTTGCAATATTTCCCTCCAACAAGATTTAAAAAATTTCTGAAATTCTGAAAATTATCAAAGGTCCAATATGTTGGCAATAAAAAGTAAAAAGTTAGTGAAATGATATATAACTTCTTTTCATAGCTTTTAATTCTTACAATTTCTTTTAACTTGCTCAGGTTAATAATTAAAACTATGCATTACACAAACAGTGCTAAAAATCAAAACAAAGAAAACACCCTCTCTGTTTGCACAGAGGGTTCACACGCACACTGCAGATCTCATTCACAGTCTGCCAGAAACAAAGTGGATAAATCAGGATGCAAACATACATACCACCAGAGGTTGTCTGTTCTTTGCCAACTTAACAAACCCATTTAGATATGTAGCGCACTCTGAAGCAAAACTGAAGACAGTGCAAGAACAACTAAACTGGAAAAAAACCAAAAACACCATCAAAATCAAGCACAGAAGTAATCCCTATAGCCATTATTTTAACAGCATTTATCAAATTTTGTTATCTATGCCACAGAAGTGACACTCTCCAAAAGCAAAAATGCAAATTTCACATTGCTGTTAGTAATATGCATGTAATGCAATTCAAGTGCCCATAAGTTCATTCTCAGTACTAGTTACCCAAGTCACAAGAAAGTCACTGAGACTCTTAAGCACAGATATCACCTCTGGCCAAGGAAGTCTCTATGGCCTAATTTCTGAATGCTAGCAGAGCAATCTGAGGAAGTTATTGACTGTTCACACTCCTCTCAGCAAATACAAGAAGAACCATGTCAGCAACCACTGATGGTCGTTGTTCTTATTGATTTTCTTATTGAAGGAAACAATACTGAGCTAGACAGCCTTCTGATCAGCCCTAGTTCAGCCCTTCTGGACTCCACAAGTTAACTGGCTTAGCTGATTTCAAACCCCATTTGCTTACTATTTTCATTAGTTGGTTATGGTTTTCCTAACAGCACTGAGTCATGAACTGAGAGCTGCAGCATCCTTTTAGGAAAAAATACTTCAGTATTCTACCAAAATATAACTGTTCTTTCTTAAGCTTAAATTAGCTGGACAACTGGTTCAGTGAACATAATTAAAGAGCACTGGGTCCCTGCCTGGGCATGGATAAATTTGGTTAGAATCAACGAAAGTTACCAGTTGGGTTTGCTTTTATTTTTTTTAAAAATAAATTTAGAGCAGAATAGAGTTCCAGTTGGAAGGGATGTACAATGATCACCTAGTCTTACTGCCTAACTGCTTCAGGGATGACCAAAAGCATGTTATTAAGGGCATCGCTAAAGGCTCTTAAACACTGACAGGCATGGAGACCAACCACCTCCCCGGGAAGCCTGTTCCAGGGTGTGACCACTCTCTCAAGCAGAGAAATGCTTACTGATATTCAGTCTGAACCCCACCTGGTGCAGCTTTGAACCATTCCCTTATGGTCTGTCCCTGGATCCCAGGCAGAAGAGATCAGCACCTCCCTCTCCACATCCCCTCTCAGGAAGCTGAGAAGAGCAATGAGGTTGCTACTCAAGCTCCTTTTCTCCAAACTAGACAATCATAAAGCCCTCTGCTGCTCCTCAGAGGATATGTCTTCCAGTATTTGGTATCAGGAAGATTAGCTGTCATCCATCAAGATGAGGGAATGAAGAATACCAAAAGCGTCCGCCTTCCACAAGACCAACAATGTACTACTGCACTTCATTGGCAATGCCTAGCCTAAGGACACATTTACAACAGACCACATAGAGCTCATTTTCAGTTCTGAATTGTTTTTCATCATTGCATTCATTTTCCTCTTTCTTCACTCCTAAACTATTCCTCCAGATGTTCACCATTACAACCTTTCTTTCCTTGATGAACAACAAACAAAGTCATACTCAGATGCTGTAGGGGTAGAGTACAAATGGCAATATGCTAGCACAGCTAACGTACTAAAAGAGGAAAAGGACTTTATTATGAAAACAGAATCAAACAATAACAGGGTTATATTTCTGCCTCTGTGCTTGCAATCAGCTGCTGATGTGAAACTTGTATCACCAGCTACATCATGTCCAGCTTCTGCCCAGAGGCTCTTAGGGGCAGGCTGGGGAAAGTCCAATCTTTTTGTTTTATTGGTAATAAAGACCAAAAGGCAATTAGCATCACAGTATCTAAAACCACGCACTGCTTGTTCTCCATACCTAGATATTACATACCATTTCCCCCTTCACACTGTTTCTTTTGTTTAGTATCATCATTTTAATATTAAAACCAGAAAAAAAAGTAAATTCAAAAGGATTTCAAAATCTTCTGTCTGCCACCAGAGCCCTTTCACCACATATGCTTCATGCACAAACACAGATCTGGGACTGGACAGTGGAGCTGTGTAAACCCTCATAATGCTTTATAGGAAAAAAGCTCTTTTAATTTCTAAAAGTCCTTTTGAAGTAATTCAACATTAGACCTTGATGGACATCTTGTACAACACGAAAAATGCCTGAATTTAGATAATAATTTTCTACTAACACATTATTAAGAAAAAAGCAATCAGGCTACAGAAGAGTAGTCATGTAAATGTGATGTCTTTTTAAAGATCCTTCTAGGAAAACACTCTTGTGTATTTTCAGTATCCACTTCACCTGAAAGTCCCTAATATAGTTCATTATGCTTTAGGCAACAGTACCACCTATAGATAAAATACACCATGGACAATTTAGCATGCACATTTTTTCATACACATCCTTTTCTGAGAAACTTGTTACTATAGTTTATGATGAATAATGAAAATTTAAGGGAAATAAAATTCATAATTTAGTACATAAATCCCTATATTGGGGATAATGGAACATGAACACAAAGAGGAGGAAAGCAATTCTGCATGTCAAAGGAAACAAAGTGAAAAATATTTCTATGTTAACAGTAACTACAAAAGCAATACATGTCCTCAAGAAAAAACAAATATATAATAAACCTCCCCCAAGTGAAGAACCCAATACCATCTTGATCCATATCAAGACAAGAGCTGCAGCACTCTCTCCAGCCATGTCCTCCCCCAACAGTCACCACCCTTCATAAGTTGGCAAACTTGCATAGGTTAGAAGGCCAAGAAATATGTTTAGGGAAGTTATACCTTAAGGTAATCTTCATGAAACAGTTACAGGAAAAGAAAATTATCTTAAGTTCTCTATCAGAAGAGAACTGACAGACAGTAATCTCTGCGATCTGGTATCAAATGTAAGTGAAAATATAGAAATACCTGTAACTTCAAATACAGTTGCATACTTACAGTGGAATAAGGCAGCTGTGCACTCAACCCATTTTGGTGCACACCTCCATTAGTCCTTTGCTGGGTCTAGCTCTGGCTATTCAGCAGGTTTATCTCTTGTTTAAAAGCATGACATTCCTGTAAATAACAGGAAACAGGATTACAGTGACATTTGCTTTACAACTCAGTTCTTCTCAAACTGGGCACTGTTCACCTAATACGTGTACTCTGGTATTTTTGTTTTTATCTCTCCTCCTCAACTCTCACGGCTAGTCCCCCACTCTAGTTTCACTGGTATGTGACAAACTCCCAAACAAAAGAAAAGAATACATCACAGAGGAAAGAGTAACACATTATGAATTTCATAACTAAATATACTCCAAATATGTGTCTGTAACTCCCTCACTCTGTCAATTGCTACATTCATATATAAGGTCTCTGAGGCAAAGAATATCTGTTCATATTTTAGAGAGAGACCAACACAGATTTCATTTTTTTCAATAATCAGTAAGACAAGGGACTACATACGCTCTATTTTGTTGGGTTAAGAACAACAGGCCGCAGACAAAGGGTCTGATGAACTTCCACAATCGAGAATTTCAGCAACGGTTCCTTCTCCACTACCTGCCAAAGCCCCAGACTGACCAAAGCCTCCAGGAGCCAGACCAAAAACTGCCTGAAGTGATCTGAAAACAGATCTCAGCCAACCAAGGCTCTCAACAGGACCTGCACAGTATCATCCACGTGATATACAAATAGTTTTCAAATGTATTCCTAAAGACCGCTGGAGGTGGCCAACCCCAAGTGGTTTCCATCTGCTCCCCCCACACCCCACACCCGTACCAAGGCTGTTTCCACTGTCCGCCGGCCTCGCACCGCGAAGCACCAGCCCCATGTGTCCGCATGGAGCACGCTCCGCCTCACCGCACCGGGCCGGCCTCGGAGCCCCCGCCAGCGGGCAGCGCGGGCAGCGCCGCACTGGAGCGTCATCGCCCGGCGGGTGGGGGTCCGGGGCCCCGCCGAGAAAGGCCGCGGAGCACGGCGGGCGCCCGCGGAGTGGGAGGCGCCGCCCGGCCCTGCCAGAGCCCGGCGTCCTCCGCCCGTGCACCTGCCGCGCCCCGCAGGAGGCGGCCCGGGCCCGGCACGGCCGGCGGCGATAGGGCTGCGCCTCGCACCGCCCCTCGGGGGCCCGGCAGTCGCCGGCCTCCTGCAAGCGGCGCCCCCGGAGAGTGGGCGCCCGGCCCGGCCCGGCGCGGCCCGGCGCCACAGAGCTGTGCCCGCAGCACACGCCCGAAGCGGGGACGGCGGGCGGGCGGGCGAGGGGCTGCGGCGGCCGGTCCCACCTGTCCTGCCGGGCACGCGGGGCTCGTCCGTGTCTCACCTGCTCGGGGCCAGCTGCCTCCAGCGTCGCCCACGAGCCCTCTCGGCGCAGGGACGGCACCGGGGCGGGGGTGGAAGGGAAGCGCCCTCAGCACCGCTCCCGCCAGCCCGGCCCTCGCCGGTGCCGGTGCCGCTCCCGCCGCCGCCGAGGACGAGGCCCAGCCCGGCGGGGACCGCGGGGCGGGGCTGAGGCGCGCGGATTGACGCGCGCGCCAGCCAACTGCCGCCCCGCGCGGGAGCGCGCGCGCCAATGGGCGCGGGCGGGGCGGGAGCGCGCGAGCGCAGGTGCCGCTGCGCCGGCCTTGGCCACACCCGCCCCGCCCGCGCTCCCGGGCGCCCTCTGGCGGCCTCGCCTGCGGCTTTCCGGGCCCGGCCGGGCCGCGGGGCCGGGGCAGGGTCGGGGGAGCGGGGCCGGACCCCGCACGGCCCGGGGGTCCCGCAGATCGCCGCGCCCGCACTCCCTCCCGCCTGAGTCCCAGCCCCTAGGGCAGGGTCAGAGAAGTGCCGTCCATCCGCTCCCCTCGCGGCAGCACCGGCTGTGCCTTGCCCTTCCTATCGACGAACCTCTGGGAACCCCCACACCGAACCCGGGCCCGCGTTCAGGTCCGGACGTCGATGCTCCAGGTCCCGGCAGTGAAATGACAGAATAGTATGTGTTCTTCCAAGGCCATTAAACAGAGCTTTGTGGGCCTCTTGAAGATACTTTATTGATACTTGGAAGATACGAGGCGAAAGAAAGGTGCGCTTTTCGCTGATTGACAGCTTCTCTAAAAGCCCCGTTCAGGGTACAGTGTGCTCTTGGCTCTGTGCACTGGTACTACGTGCAGGGCTGAATCCAGCCCCTCACACCGGGCTCCAGTTTTGCACGTTAGAGAACAAAAGCCAAGTGAGGGTACCTGAAGGAAGCTCCGAGATACTGCACGATGCCCAGATTACATTGAGAAGGCATCTTTCCAGTCTCCTGCTTGCTAAAGGTTTTCAATCGCTATCAAAGCCAGAGCACTTTAAACATCTTCAGACATCCCAATTAAACTTGTATGAGCTTGCTTTTCAAAGCAGAAAGATTCAATTTGAGAATAAACTATAAAAATTAACATAGATTTGAGATTTGCTTGTGAGTACTGATACAACTCCAATAACCACATCAAAGCCAAAAGCACTATATGGGAAGGTATTTTCCCTACATTTCCCTCCCCCTCAGAGAGGCTGAAGAATTAAAATTGATGTCATGTGAATCACTAATCATTTAATAGACTATTCTTATTTGAGTTTGTCCTACTAAGTACTGCCACTACTTTCACACTACACACACTTTCCTCTAAAACTTCCAGCATCAGCTCCCACTAAAGCAAGAGTAAGGTATTCTCTGGCAAAATGTTTTCCTCTGTCTCACTGTGCCAGGACATTAAAACAGCAGTTCATGGACTACAGTCTTCTTTAAAAAATATACATTGGTTAGTCATATTTCTACAAGAATTCAGGAAAAAACAGTCTGAACACTAGGTACTTCTTATCTGAATGATTATGAGATTCCAAGTCAGAATTTCCAAACTGATGCTTAAAGCACTGTAAAATGATGATGTCCTCTGCCCAGACAGGTCTCATGCAGCACAGCAGAACAGTCTCTGAAATCCTGGGTGTAAACCCTGCTTCGCTGAGAATGGAATTGCTCAGCACCTGCTCCTCTTGAAGTTGTCAAAATAAAGACTGGAAGCCTTTTTTTGTTGTTGTTTTTGTTGGTTTTTGTTTGTTTGTTTGTTTGTTGTTTGGTTTGGGGTTTTTGTTTGGTTTTTTGTTGTTGTTGGGTTTTTTGTTTGTTTTGTTTTTTGTTTTTTCTTCCTGTTTTAGGTTTCAGTAATGTACAGCACTTTAAGTAACTTATATTAAAAAATTGGCCAGCACCCTCTGGTGGAAAAAAACACATGGACAAGTAACGTTACTTTAGACAATGTCATTAGCCATATAATTTCACAAAATTTTAATGAAAAGTTGCTGTCTATAATTCAACTGACTTTTGATTTAACATTCAATTTAAATTTTTCCTAAACTAATGCACAATACAATTGCAGTATGCTATTTCATGTTATTCATGAAATGTAGCATCCATGGGATCAGGCTTCATTTTTCCTGCATGGTTATTGCAGAAAGAGAATAAATTCAGTATGTCATGTTCACTGGCTATTCCAGCTTCCTTTCAAGCTGTTTTCAAGAAGTCTGCATTATGAAAAGTTAAACAGTACGGCTGCATGTACACAACAATCAGGTAAACAGAACTGGTTTTTTTTTAACCTACACAAACTTTTTTTCCTTAGCCTTCTTAACAAAACTTCTGCATGAAATCTTTTTCTTCTACCTCCTGCTTTGCTGAGAATGGTATTTTATAGCATTTTTTAAACAAGTGTCCAATCTCTGAGTCAGTTTTTCCCTTGATGCTGAATTCAGATGTGCCAGCAAAGATGAGAGAAGTTGAGGTATTTCAGAGCATTCATAAAATTAGAAAGATTTGGTTGGAAGGGACTTAAAAATTCACCTCTTTCCACTCCCTGCCATGGGCAGGGACACCTTCTACTATCTCAGGTTGCCCCAAGTCACGTCCAAACTGGTCTTGAACACTTCCAGGGATGGGGCAGCCACAGCTTCTCCAGGCAATCTGTGCCAGGCCCTCCCCAGCCTCACAGGGAAGAATTTCTTCCCAATATCCCCATCTAGCCCTGCCCTCTGGGAGTGGGAAGGCATTCTCCCTTGTCCTGTCCCTCCAGGGCCTTGTCCAAAGTTCCTCTCCAGCTCTTTTCGAGCCCCTGTAGGTACTGGAAGGAGCTCTAGGGTCTCCCTAGAGCCTTCTCTACTCCAGGCTGAACACCCCCAGCTATCCCAGCCCCTATCCAGAGCAGAGGGGCTCCAGCCCCCTGACCATCTCTGTGGCCCGGATGCAGTGCTCCAGGTGGGGGGTCTCACGAGAATTACTTTAGTTTATGCAATAGTTCTTTTATTGGATATCTCTGCTGAAATAACCTTTCTACATTATTAGGGAGCAAGCAGATAAGTTGAAGTTTAACCACACATACTGTACTATGACACTGTAATTATTGCCATGGATCGCAACTTTAAACAAATACGAACTACCCAAGGTCAATGGTGTATCCCTAGACAGAACTAGATAAAGTTGAAATCCCATGCAACAAAAATGCATCATAAGGTTAGCTAGAAAGAAAGGGAGTTAAAAGAAAAACTGAATAATTTGTTAAGGGCAAAGGATATCAGAATTATTCTATTAGTTGGAGACATTTTTAAAATCTTAAAATAATCTGATACCCACCACCATAATTTCCCTTATTTCCACATCTTCATGTGGACAAAACTAGCAAAGAAGGGGTTCTTTGAAACTGCCAATCAGTTTGCACACACAAGTGACTGAACACAGTGGAACTCCTTGTCTTTGTACCAGATTTTCCTCACTATACAAGGAGAGAAATCAATCTTCAGAAAGACTAGTCAGACTCATTAAACCTACAGTAATCTTGTTGCTTTGCTGATATCCCTTCATTGTTTCCCCAAGTTTTTCTCTTCCAAAAGCAGTTGTGTGTCTTCCACTTTCACGTGTTTTTCCATTAATCCTCAACATGTCTGTTTTCTTACCATCACGTCTCCCTTATACCTGGCCAGAGTCACTGTCCTTTCTCTACTTTGTTTTCAAAGAAGCACCTCTGTAGTTTCTGTGATACTGCCTCATACTGATGAACCTCACAAAATTGCCTCAAAACATCCTCCTTCAGAACCCTCCTTTGTTTTAATGACAGGAAAGAGTTCACTATGGGTACTCTTTTCAAAACCCTTTAATCTTTTCCTCTCCTGCTTACATCTGTTGTTGTTTGTTTTACACAATACAAGCCTTCTGAGGAAGTCATATCGGAACATGTGTCTTGAACAAGGGTCTCATTTATAGTTTCAGCACAGTACAGATGGACATTTTTTCAGAGCTCTGCCTTCGTAAGCTTTCTGTTGCATCCCATCATAGAGAAGATCTTCCCTGATACTACTTCACCCTTCTTTCTAATGCCAGAACTTCAGTTATTTGGGAGAAAGGGAGATCTCTTGTGCCCACTCACAGTTATTATACACATAGTTCTTATGTAATAAGAAAATAAGCTCAGTTTAATGGTGGATGTAGAAGTATGAGTCTTCATAAAAGTACAAAACTCAAACATCATCCATTCAGAACTAAACAATTAATAACTGGCAAAAAAGAGAAACTTCAAGAGTAGCTTGTCTCTAACAATTTTGGACTCCTAGTTGGTACATGAGTATTAAAATGCAACTTTTTAATCACACCTCAGGAATAGCATCTAAAATGCAAGCCCCTTAGTGATTAAGTAACCAAATGTAGACACTGACACCACAGATTTGCTCTAGAAGCATTTTAATTTACAAACAGCAACTCCGATTGACTTTATACCATAAAAAAAGCAATTTACAAGCAAGAAACAAATTCATCAGAACAAAATAAAGCAGCACAGAAATATTCATGTCACAAATCTAAAACCAAAGTGAATACAAGAGTAAAATATCATTTGAATAAATATTTTAAAGTTCATGCTATAAAATAATTCTTAATGGCAAAGTTACTAGATGTTACAGCATCAGCTTAGCTAGCTTCATTTACTTCACGTGGCAATGAAGTGCGAGGTGTGAGGTTCCCGGTTTATATTGCAAGATAATGACACCAAGTTAAGTCATTCAAACTGTTCAATTATTTATCATCAAAAAACAACCATACAAATAAAAGTTTTTTAAAAATACAATTTTTCAGTCAGAAACAAATACTGTTAAAATCGTGCAAGAGCTCTACCTCTACCCAGACCTATAACCAGAGGCTCGCAGTCCGAGTCCAAAGGCTGAATCCCTGTGGGAATGAGAGTCAGCAGTTCTGGCATGGCAGGAGTGAGCTACAGGAGTGAGAGGCAAACCTGCTCAGTCAGAGATACGTGGCTTCACATCCCCTGAAGAAATACAGGAACACATGTCCCAGGCTTACTTGTTTGTTTAGCTTTTTTTTTTTTTTAATGTAAACTTGCGTAACTTAAGTTAATGCTGTCACAGGGATGTGCAAGTACTATTAAATCTACAATATTAAATACAACTATTCTGGCACTTGTTAAAATACATGTAAAATGCACAGAGATTATAAACTTTGAACATTTTGAATGACTTTACTAAACTTCCAATTCAATCACTGAGTATTATGAAATTTACAATTCATGAAATAAAGAGATTCATATAAAGAATTTACATAATTCCCCAAATACTTTCAAATATAAAATTTAATAAATAACCCTGACCAGTCAAAAAGCACCATTCAAGGGTAAAATTCCCTTGGAAAATAGATTAGGTGTTGCATATTTGAGTCCCTTTCAATGGTTTCATGTGAAACCTGTTTAGAAAAATGACAATAAAAGAATCACAGTAAACTAATACAAAAATTTAAATAATATATATATTTAAAGGTAAAGCTCATTCAATATTTTCCCAGCCCTTGATTTTATTCCTATTGTTCTTCCCATAATTCAACCTAAACATATTAAGAGGCCTCATTGCTTTGTCTAAAAGTAAACCAAAAGCTTCAGCATAAACCATGAATTTATGCTGGGGAAGACTGCATTAAAACTCTCAATTTAGGCCTACAGTCTACCCTGCTGACAGTGAACTGACAGTATCCTTTATGCTACGGAAAGATTTCACACCAAGAAAGCAGAGTCAATCTTGAGGCCTTAGTGACCAAAATGAACTTGTCATATACTGTAAGTATTTACAAAGCTATTTTCTAAATGTATTTACAAGCTTAAAAGAAATAATCTGGAAGATAATAAGAAAGAAAATTAAAATAACAGTTTAAAACCACAGACATTAGCAAAGGTATAAAATCCTTTATTTTCACAGTTTGTCAAAATAGGTTAAGCATCTAGAAGAAAGGACACTGTCACTGCTTTCACATTTGTCTAGAATTAAAAAGGTAGATTAAGAAGAGACTCAATTATGAACCAGCCTATATAATTTCACCATTTATTTTGCTGTCAAATATTTCTTCACATATTTTATTGACTTCTGCATTTATTGTAAATGAAATGTGTAACAGCTCTTTGCTGAGAACTGGACAGACACGAGACATTGTACAGTGTTTCCGTGGTTGCTAAAGTATCCCAGCCTCCTGCTCGCTGGGCTGGTGACATGAATTCATCAGGTCACGCCTCGTGTCTGTGACAGTGTTGATCCTGGCACCCCGTTGAGTGACAAGGCACAATGGAATTGCTGCTGCCAGGGGTGCTGTTGGTGTTCAGCAGAGCCCGGGGGGCCGGGCAGAGCTGGGCTATGGCTTGGGAATCAGGAACGCTGCCCCCGGGGAGGGAACGGGCACAAGCAGGGCAAGCAGGACCTGCATGTTGCTGGATCATGGGCTTGTATAGAAACGGATCATTTCCTGCCCCTTAACAGTCCCCTTACAATGGTTTGAACCTGAACCTGTACAATCAACGTGATGGTTTTTTGTTTGCTTTCGTCTGAGACAATTTTGGATAAGTCACTCTTTGGTAAACTCAAACCATTTTAATACATTTACAAATACAAAGAACTAGATTTAAATAATGTTAAGATTGTGACACAGAGAAATTCAAGAAATATAAAATTTGTACCCATATCCTGCTATTCTCAACTCATTCTTCCAGGGAAAAAGTCACACCAAAGGCACCACAGCACAGGTTCAAGATAAAGGGTTAGGAATAACTGTACATTTCTTGGATTTTGCATGTCTCAAACTTAATTTATCAAAACTTACTTTTTTTTTTTTTTTTTTTTTTTTTTTTTTACATTTAATTGCTTAAAACATACACTTAGGGAAAAAACTATATCAGAAACAGCAACATGTTGTTGGGTGGGTAAACATACAGACTACCTGCCCTAGACACAGACTATCCCTTCCCTTACTGGAAACAAAAGTTCTGTTGTTGCTTCAAGGAGAGAAACATCTCCCCACCCTCTGCCTCTTTATTTAGGCAGTTTTGGGACAAAGAGGCAAATGATGTACCCAATTTAACTGAAACTGCTCCAATGGAGCAGGTGGGGGTTATACTGTAAATCCACGTTTTATGAAATTAATTCTTATTGCAGACTGCCACAATATTAAGAACTAGTGTATTTAATAAAGCTACTGCACAAATATGCCCTAACTTCACAGGGGCCAAAAAGCTGTACAACATAGCAAACCTACCTTTTTGTTTTCCCGTAATTTAGAAAAGCTTTTATTTTCTAAATTTCAGGAGTTAAACAGCATGTTCACAGACGTATTTTCAATATCAGCTAAACAAACATAAGACCCAATAATACAAAACCTGTATTTTAAAGAATTATGTGATTAATTTAACGATTAATTCTGTTCATCAGGTAGAATTCAGGTAGAATGTTACACAGTAGTGTTTGCCAGTCCATGCTTTTGAGGTCTCTTAAGCTATTGATTTTTTTGTGGTATTTTTGGGGGGTTTGTTGTTGTTGTTTGTTTGTTATTGGCTTTGGGGTTTTTTTAGGGGGTGGTTTGCGTAGGGTGGGGGCTTTTGTTTGTTTATTGTTAGGGAATTTTTTTTTTTCTTAACTGTTACTATTATGTTTCACATTTTATATATTATACTGACCTAAATGATGAAGTTAGCACCATTTTAAAAACATATATTTGGTGAAACAAAAAGATTTAGAGTATTTTTAAAGTTGTTGGTAGCTCCTTTATGCAGAAAACAACCACTGAAAATAGCAGAGAAGCCATAGCAACTCTGTAATACTCACACATGAAATAACAGACATATTGCTCAATATTCCCATAGAGTATTTGTTTTTTTATACAAAAAAAGTACAAATTCCAAGTGCTGGCATATCACTTGGAGCTTTAAGTAGGAAGTCAACGTGCACCTGAAAACGGTTCTCTGTGAAGAGACCTATTAAAATACTGCTTGGAAATACTGTGGTAGAAACTACATCTCTCTCTGGTTTTAACCAACCATGAAGAGTGATGAAGTTAAATTTAATTACCTGGTATGGTTCTACAGTACGAAATGAAGGTAGATTCTGAGGCCAGCCAAAACACATTTAAAACCACAATGCTACTTTTAGGTTTGCTAATATTTTTATATATATATATATATATATATATAGATATATCTATCTCTATATATATAAAAAGGTCAGCACCACAGGTTGTCCAGCTTGCATTCTAGACAACTAACAAAACCCCTCAACAGTTTAACCATAATTTAATAGATTTATGGCATTTGGTTTACATATGTTATAAAGCAAAGCTATTAAAACAAGGTAATTCACTTTGCTCACTTTTGCACACAAAGTAATAGTTTAATAAAATGAAAACCAAACAACATTCATTTAAAACCAAAACCATCCTCCTAAAGTCCAAAGTCCTAAACCCTAAGCAGAGAGGAGTCCTAGCAGTTGAAAGAGTGGTATATGGTATCAGCCTTGCCATACTTTTACATTCACCTCAACCAGAATAGGAAAAGTGAAAACATTTTATATATATAAAGCAGATTTATATATATAAACAGACTCACTACCAAAACCAGTTAGTAAGAATAGATTTCATTGTGACACAAGAATCAAAGCTATGATATTCTTTCTCCCCACTGCTGTGTAACTCATTACCAGCAAGAGGATTTCAGAAAATAAGGGAACTTACAGCTTCTTGGAGCATCCAGCAGAGCTGCCAACCTTATTCTAATATCTTTCTCCACTGGAGTTTGTGTCTCGCCAGATCAATCAATAGGGACACTTCAGCAGACTCTTCCTATCTTTTCCCCAGCACAGTCTTTATGTTCTGAGCATCTCCAAAAGTAGAAAACAAACCCCAAACAACTCAGCCTCCTTCAAAAACAAAGAATACTTGTGTAGTCCTCTCCAGAAACCATTTCTAACTGATTTCCAGAAGGTCAGGAAAATTAAAAGGCTGTTACATTTGTACTGAAGATTACTAAAAGAATAAAATACTTTAAAAATACACTAGTAGTGTGCTTGTCTGTGTTGCACTTAAAATGTAGTATTTTAATCAGATGTGTTAGACATTGCATGAATTTCCATACTAGAATCCATGGCTTCAGAAGCTGAAGCATCATTATCTACTTTCTGTTCCACAAATGCTTCTGTTCTGTCTGGAGACTCGACCCTGTTTCTCACTTCTGTTACCCCAGGGTGATTTTTTCGCAAGTGCTGGTTTAGTGTACCCTGGAAAGGAAAGCATTTGCCACAGATCTCACAGCGAAAGGGTTTGTCATCTGTGTGACCACGAATATGATACTCAAGTTGGTCCTTACGGGTGTATTTCTTTCCACAAAACTTGCACACAAAAGGAGTTATTCCCATGTGCAATCGCATGTGTCGATCAAGGCTCCCTTTCTGGTTGAAAGACTTCCCACAGTAAATACAAATTAGCCTTTCATTGTATGGATACCAGTGACCTCTTGCATTTCTTTCCTGTGGACTATTTTCATATCCTGGATTACTCACCATGGATTCACTGTCAGCCCCTTGCACCAAGCCCTGGACATCACTATGCAAGTGACCTGTAGGTACTCGTTTTTGGCGTGCACGACCCCCTCTGAAACAGCTCAGCATTGACCTTGAAGGACTTGTATTGCTCAGGCTCCCAAAGGTTTCTGACACACCTGTAGCCTGGGATGAGGCATGGGTAAATGAATAAACATGTTGTAAGACAGACCCATAGGAACCAACATTTACTGCCACCACCTGCTCTCCGTCCACCATTTCAGTGTGATATCCATCATCCCCGAGGGAAGAGCTGTCAGAGCAGCTTGGCCTGTCAGACTTCTCCATTTTAACTTTCACCTCTGCAATCTGACTTTCCCTTACTATCAGGTCTCCTTGCTCATGATCACCTTCAATCTGAATCTCATATTCAGAGATACTCCCACTGCTCCCTCGGTCTGAATGTCCTTCTTCTTGCAGACGACTCCGTAGAGTTTTGCCTGGAGTAGTTTCCATCCGCAGATCGCTGCCTGCTGTTGGCTGTCGCACCTGAGAGCAATAGGGAGGAGAGATCTCAATAGGGTTGGCAAAGTAGCTGCTGTCTTTAACGCCATTGCGATTCTCTGAATTTTCTTCAGCACCAACAGTGACAGAATCAACATCGCCAACAGTGATCTTTGAATGGATACTCTCCAGGATCTGCGTGCACTTGTCAATGACACACTGCATCTGCAGGAAGCTGGCTGCAGTCAGAAAGCTGACAACGTCCTTCAGCTGCAAAGACATCCTTCCAGTGTAACAGAAAGAAAGCAACTGTTCAAAAACATTGGGATTTTTAATTACTGATATGGATAAGCCACTCATGGTGCTCAATGCTGAATGGTCACGGAAATATGGAGAGCTGGCAGCTAACACAGCCTTGTGGGCGCGGAACGGTTGCCCCTGGATGTGCACAATTATGTCACAGAGCTTCCCTTGCAAGCGGAGTTCGTTTAGCTGGCTCAGAACAGTGTTGCTGTACTCTGGCACATCAAACTGAATGAAACTGCTGCTGTCCATTTCTACTGATGTAAAGAGTAATCTGAAAGAAAAATACAAAGATTTACAACTGAGAATGAATATGGAGTTTTCCGTTTAAAAAATGCTTGCAAATGTTTAAGTTACATCACCTCACTGACCTGTTAAAGGTGCAATACAACAAAACAGTAAGCATAGATACTTGATATAATAAAGAAAGTAGAGTCTTAATCTATGCATTTCTTGCATTTCTATAATGTGAATTATTCCTCTGTGACATTCACAATGGAATTGCTCAGAATACATGACAGGCTCCCTGGGACAGTCTGTGTCCTCAAAGAAACTTTACAATTCCACTCCCTGGCAAGAACTGCAGAATGATACCTCCACCCTTCCAAAAGAATACCAGTTTTATAGCCATTAAGCAAGGTTAACACTTCAGAACCCTGAGTAGGTGTACAAGCCAGACACTACAGTGATACTTGCAAGGAACTGCATTGTTAAATTGCCCAAGAATTATTGTTGGAAGGTACTTCATGAAGTTTGAAAAACCTGCCAGAGAAACGCCACAGGCACGTGTGCGTGTGCATTTGAAAGAAAAGTGTTTGAGCCACCCATGGACTTTCAATTTTTAAAAAAATTTTCTTTTGTGATTTAATTAATTTTTTTAATAAACCACAATGTGAGCTTTGAAGCTCATCCCATGTAACAGTTATTTCCTATCTAGAATGATTTGACATTTAAATTCTAACCTAAATTAAAAGCCATGGGTACTCAACCACCAGGAAAGGACATTCCAAGAGGCTTTAAAGAAATGTACAGAATTCCAAACAAGAGCTAAAGAAAAGCACTTTTCACAGAGTACTGTTGTAGAAAGCACACACATTTGTCACCCTGAGAGTGTCTATCTGCAGCATCATCTTACATTTCCAAGACACTAATCAAGTGCCCAAGAATCTTCAGACTTTTATTGCTATTCTTGTTCTTATTAATGCAGAAGTATAAACACACAATATTGCCACCATACCTGCTTTTCCAATTGAACAAAGAGATCTCAACATCATCCATTGACTTCGGATGCAGGAAGCATGTCCAATGTATCACAATATACTAGTGGATTTTTTTTTCTATTATGCTACATGCTGTAATGGGACATATGAACAATTTAAATCAAATTATGAAAATTCAGGTATTCTAAAAACAAAATCAACAGGTAGAAATACAATAAAAAGCCTGAAAGGAAGAAGTGGAGCTCTGTCAGCTGACTTTCACTTAAAACTAACATTCATAATTTTCACAAATGGAACTTCTTTTCAGCAAATGCAAGAGAGCCAGCTTCCTGACTGGACACTATCTCCAGGTAATGAATACCTATTTAGAAAACTGGAAAAACCTCTCACAGAGCATTCAAAATCAAGTTATCGGAATCGCTAAACATGTTCTCTAAGTTATCAGTGTCATTAATGAAAATGGGTAAGCCAGCCTTCATTTGAGCTTTTACAGTTGTGATGTAAAAGAAGGGGGAAAGACATTTTTCCCACCTGTTATATCTGAGGTGGGAAATAAGGACTGCAAGATGTTTACCAGAAGTGATGTGATCACAGTGATCCATTCAGAGATGGCTTGGGCAGGACAGTTCTTTTATTCAGCAAACAAAGCTATAAAATGATTCAGAGTTGCAAGCTGATTTAAGTCAGAAATCAAACAGTACAACACACAATCAACCCCAGTCCAACAGCGAGGCAGTTACATGGCAAGATTAACCTTGTTATTCTGAGCATCCCTGCATGCTGTACAGAGAACCACTATCCCAGTCCCATAGGGAAGACATCCCAGCAGTTGGATGCCTGTTTGTCACCTTCACTGGTGTCTGACAGGGCAGCCGGCTTCTTACAAACCCAACAGAGCTCACTACCTTTAATTTGTGGGGCTTATTAGCTACACACAGATGCTACACCAGCCACTCCTGATTAATCATTCATGATTCTCCATGCTAAGTGGAGGAAGAACTTTTGCTGACCTGAAGTGACATGAATTGACAAATTACCTGGGTTGAGGACTGTGTACAAACTAAAAGACCAGTCCCCAGCAGCAATAATTTGTCATTCTTGTCAAGGATGTACAGAAAGTTTGTCCCATACTTCTGTAAGGGCTATTGCTTAGCAAAATCAAGAACAACTTACTCCTAGAGAAAATATTAAAATGCAAATTGTCACCACTAGCACTGGTCCAGACAGAAGGAATGAACTAAGGATAGGCACCTGAGTAGAAAAAAAGATGCCTTACCATGGAGAAAAAAAAAATGTCCTTTTGATCATGGCATCTTGGCATCTCTAAATGAATTCACAGTCCTGGGACACAGCCACACATTGAAAATGGACTGTAAACACACACCAGAGAAAGTGTGAGAACCAGGAGGGAAGGACACCAAGGAGAAATGGAACCAGGGTGATACCTGCACATTATCACTCTGTTAGAACATTCCCTTAACTCCATATGCATATACATATCTACAAGTAATTCCTTGTTCTCAGGGTTGTTTCATCTTTCTTTTGGGAAAAAAGCAGCTTATTTTGCTAAAGATGCTAGGAGTAAACAGCACGAATGCTGGCAGTGAGTGCAGAGGATGACGGAGTTAACGGTCTGTAAGTCTGGCTGCCAGTGCAGCAGAAAAGCAGTGAAAACCAGCAACAGGGACCAAGGGAACATACAGTGTTGCTTTGAAAGCAACCAAACAGGTCCAGTACACAAAAATAAGCCCCAAAGCAGTGGACAACAAGGTTCTATATCCACTTGCTTTTAAAAAACAAAGTGAACAAGCGACAGCATGCACTTGTGACTACTTTTCCACCTCAGTTTATTCCTTCACACGCTTCCTGTGACCTTGAAAACATCTGGGGTAGAAAGCTGGGGTTAAATGACAAGAATTTTGAACTGCAACAGCACTTGACAGAAGGGAACCCTACTTCTGCTTTCAGCCACAACCTTATATCTCCAGCTGGAGATTCTGGAACTGATCAGGTTGCTGATAGACACCCCATTCAGGAACAGGCAGGACTGTAGCAGGAACAGCACTGAGGCTGCAGTAATTTTGCCAGGGTTAGTATCAGGGCACCCCACCTTCCTTCCATCAATTAGGGAAAGCAAGACCTGGGGAAAAACCTGGGTGTTACACGCATCAGAGAAACAGGCACTGCTAGCCATGTTTTACTGGTGAATAATGGCCAGAAGAAGAATGATCTTATTCACAGAGATCCCGAATGTCACTAGCTAGAAAATAAAAGTAATCTATAGATTATATTCCCATACACAAGAAGGTTTTATTTTATTTGTATACAGGATCAAGTTAAAAGCTCCATAATAAAATTCTAGTAACATTAACCAAAATAATGTTCAGCAGGTACTGTACCATAATAATGCTCAATCATTCATCAGTGCTGGCAGGCCAGTAGCTCTTACAAGCCAATGTGATTTATGACTGAAACATTTCTGAAACAGTCCTGGAAGATCACTACAGTTTGAAAAGACTAATGAGAACCCCCCCAATTTTTTAACAGCTTCCTTCAAGTTGAAACATCTCCCTAATCTCTTCCCTTCAGGGGTGAGGCATGTAGCATTAAACTGAAGTAGAAAGGCACTGTAAAGCACAAATTAACTTTGGATGCACCCACTGCGTGCTCTAAAGAAAAAAATTATCTCTGCAGTTAACCAGACAGTCAGAATGAAACTTAACACACATAATAATTCTTTACAGAATTAGCACAGGTGAAGAAAAAAAAAAATTAATGCTCAGTCAGAAGTCTTGTTCAGTACCTTCCATAATATCTTGGCACGTGCAGAGGGAACCTCTGTTATTTAGGCTCAGGATAGCCATGTAGAACAGTAGTTCAGAATGATGACAATTTTATTTGCGATAAACAAACTCAAGCATTTGGGGGTAGTGAGAATTAAGACAACTCACAGCAACATGAGATACTCTCACTGTTAAAAGTAATGCATTTTGTCTTGCTTGAGCTTTCACCCCTGCCTTGAGTTAGTGTAAAGTTCGGGCAAAGTCCTGTAGAATTTCAGTCCACCTCTGCACACCTATTCACAGACAAGTCCTCTCTTAAACCTTTTTGCAAAAGTAGATCAAAGTGTTTAAGGTTTTCCTAGCTATTAGGTATCCAAGAAACTGGCTGAAGGCACAGGCCAGAACTGGACACCAGGTTCAGTAAGTCCTAGCAGGGCTCTGTGTTGAGCCTCCTCTGTATTTCTGTAGATGATCCAGTTGCACTTAAAAGAATCATATAAATTCTCTTTGCATCTGTATTATCTTTATTCATCGGGGTTTTATACAGCAAATGTAGGCCACAGAATGAATTTACTAGTAGTGAATTGCTGCCCTACATCTTCAAACAAAAGTGTTCATTGAAGTAACCTGTGAACACCAGTGATAGACATTTAACATTTCTCATTAGATTTTGAAAGAAACTTACTTTAAAAATTATGTTCTATGAAAGCTCTTATTTAATTTAAAAAAACCAAGAATAGATGGTGACAAATCACATTAGGTATTTAATTTTACTGACATCATATAGTAGCAGCAGAGAAGCATCATATAACTACAACACGAAGCTGTGTGTCTGCCAACATCGTATTAGTTTCTGCTTCTAAGTCTGCACCTGTTTAATTTCCTTCATTCACTGAAGTATGATTCACCATTCTCACAGACAGGTGAATGATACAAATTACACTCATTTCAACTCACACAAAGGTGTGAGAAAAGATTCCTTGCATTTTCTTAAGTTAGCTCAGCAACAAGGGATCATTGGGAAAAAAACCTCACATTAAAAACCATTACTGCTGTAGCATGTCTGAAAACAGGAATACGTAGAAAAGCTAGGAGGGTCATAATGAAAATTAAGACAAAAACAAAGCAAAGTGCTCCATGACACCAAGAATGACTCTCCCAGACAAGAAGTGACAGGACAAGAGGAAACAGCCTCAAGCTGTGCCAGGGGAGGTTCAGGTTGGACATTAGGAGGAATTTCTTCATGGAAAGGGTTGTCAGGCACTGGAAGGGGCTGCCCAGGGAGGTTGTGGAGTCACCATCCCTAGAGGTGTTCAAGAAATGACTGGCCATGGCACTCAGTGCTCTGGTCTACTTGACAAGGTGGTGATCGGTCACAGGTTGGACTTGATGACCTTGGAGGTCTTTTCCAACCTTAATGATTCTGTGATACTCCCTCCATACATTACTGCTCAGAGTACAGAGAAAAAGCACGAAAATAAATAGGTATTTATATAGAGCAGTGCACTTCCCCCTTGCATTTTGTAGGAGTCAGTATCTGCTACACCATCTTGTGTGAGAACTCAAGACATCACTGCAAATATGTATCATCATTCAAGAGAATTCTAACCTAGGAATGTAACCCATCAGCTGTGATCATGGAAGTTTTTAGGCAAAGATCATCATCACTCTCACTCCTTTCAGACTGCATTTGCATTAGTCTTCAGATTTACAGCAGCCACACTAATTAATTCTAGCTGTATCCAAGAAAAACTGCCATAAGGTATGTCACAGGCTACAGGGGGTCTCTAAGACACTCTTTAAATAGTTTTTAAAAATAGGGAAGAGACTGTTCATAGAATATTTTTACCAGTTTATACCTCTCATAGCAGTAAAGTATTAATTATCTTTTAAAAGTCAACGTACAATGCCCTTGCACGGCTTTAAGCATTGTCCCACACAGCACTACTGCTTCACTGCAAATCCAACCCCAAAGGAGGGTAGCTTCCCCACTTCTAGAAAACAGATTTTAATACTGCAGCCACTAAAAAAAAAAAAAAAAAAAACAAACCAGAAGAAGGTGAAAAAACCCCATAGTCTCCCATCAATTGAGATAATTTTAAACTACAATAAACTTAAAATAATATAAGCAGCAAATACAATGCAAATATGTAGAACTGGTTTTTGCATCAATTCTTCACTTCTTCTGAAGTGCCCATCAGAATCAAAGAAGAAACAGACAGTTTGCCCAAATTATCTGTAGGAAAGCACACAACAAAGAGTGCATGTGGAATATTACTCATTAGAAAACAGCTTTGAAAATCAGTTTGCTTCAGTTCTATTTTAGACTACAATACAGAATCTGATAGCGTAGTGAAGACTACAAAGCAATTAAAAACTTTGTTACTTTACCTCTTAAAGATGCAGGAAATGCCCAGTTTCCTCAGAAACTGAAGCCAGTTAGTGTGTTCTGCAATATAGTTACTAGAAAGCTTATTTCTTGCACACTTGCATCAGTAAATATCAGAACACTCCAGTGAAAGTCATCATCCTCCCTGTGCAGCCAGAGAGGCCATGCTCTACCCTAAGTACTGAACACCTGCAGTGAAGCCACGAGCAAAGGTCCTGCCTGGTGGGTGAGCTCAGTGCTGCAGGACACAACACCACCAGCTGCCCAGGGAGCAACGCAGTAACTCCTGACACTCGGTTCAGAACAGCTTTACTAATTCAGACTTTTGTCTAACCAAAATTTAAAAGGATTTATTTTTACCTCACCAAGGTCCACAACATGACGAACAGAAAACCACTTCAAAGAGTGGATGATTTTGATATCAAAATACAACCAATTTATTTATATGTATGTACATATATGCACATGCACGCATAGACACATTCCAATACCAGTAACGCTACAAACCCATTCTCAGTGGTTAGCATGGTGCAGCAGGGAAATTGTTGAAATTGCATATTTAGCAATTTATAGGGGGAAAAAAAAAAAAAAAAGGGAGCCTCCTATTTGAACAAATATCCAAAGCAAGCAGATGTAAAAATGAAGTCCAAGGGCCACCTTCATCCCTTAGTTTCTAACTGTTTTCCTCACAACTGCTTGCCTGTGTGAAAGTGATTGAAAGAGTAAAAATGAAACAACCATCAATGCATAAAAAATGTTTCACTTAACAATTAGAAACCTCAATAGAAATAATCTCTAAATTTTGGCTCTGGAAATTAAATTACTACAAAAGAAGTTACAAGTATGTATTTATTTCTGAATGCAGGAAAAAAGTCACTAGGAGGCAAACTGGAGACAAGCCAAGATCAAAAGGTCCTTTCCAACTCAAACTATTCTGTAAGTCTATGATTCCAATACTGACAAAAGTATTCTGTCAGATAAATAAAACAAAGGGACATGTTGGTGATACGTACACCTTAAATCAGCAAGATCTTACAAGTAAAAATGATCAAAAACTTTTATTTTATGCACAAATTTCATAATATCCCCATTATGTAATGCTAAATAGTCACATCTGAATATCTGACAACTTTGAGACCTATGCTTTGAGAAGCCACTATAATTATAAAAAAACACCAGCTTATATTTTGAGACTCAGGATATATATATAGGCAGAACTTTCACAAGTGGGGAGTGAGAGGAGGGGGAGAGGGCTCTTGAACCTCCTGCTATCACAATATTATTTACTACCAAGGTAATACTTCATCACCATTGTGCATTTTAATCCATCCACTTTTCTATTTTTTTTTTTTAAGGCTTAGTCATTCTTCAGCAAATCATAACTTTTTGGCTTCAATGTTTCTTTTAGGCAATGAAGTAACTATATTCTCTAGATATCAGCAACATTTTTTGCAGTAGATTTACAGTAGCTGTGAAGAGCCCTTTTCATAGTATTTTTCCAACCCGTTACCTGGGACAGACGGAACAGTTTGTGGCTGTCCCTAGACAGGCGATGAAGCACAGTCACATTCTGACACAGATGTTGAGGATTCTTTATCGACTGCAGTGCAGTTAATCCTATACCACCTGGTTTTCCCTTGGCGACCAGGCTCTCCTATGTCAATGTTTCTGAGACTGTTCTGGCGTGTCCCAAATTCACTCTCAAATATGATTTATTCTAGACCAAAACCAAATTTGCATGCCGTGCACATCTGCGGGGATTTGGAAAGACCTTTGCATTAAAGAGATCGGGTTTTCACTTAGGATTTCCACTTCCTCTGACGGAACAGTAGCGGCTGAAGGGTCCCAAACGTCCCGGCAATGAACACGTCCCCGAAGGGGCCGGGGATGTGACGCCTCGCCCGAGGTAACAGCAGACCCGACACACGCGCGCCCGACCCGCTCTCTCCGCGGCAAAGCTGCACCGGAGACACCGACTCGGGTGACGCGACAGCCCCCGGCGAAGCGCGGCCGGGCCAGAGCAGCCCCGGCAGAGCCGCTGCCGCCGCTCCGGGCGGCCGAGCCGAGCCGAGCCCCGGCCCGCGGCCGCCGCTCCCGCGGGGCCTGTCAGGTGCCGGGACCCCCTCCCCGAGCACGACTTCGTCCCGCCCGGGAGCGCCGCGCCCGCCGCTCACCTGGGGCTGTCGGGGGCTCTCACATGGCGGGTCCCCGGCCGGCCCGGCCCGTTCCCACCGCCGCTTCCCGCCCGCTCCCGCAGCCACTCGCACCCGGAACTGATTCCGCTGGCGGCCGTTCCGCTTCCTGGTGCCGCCCCGGCAGCGGGCGGAGCCCCGGGGCCGTCCGGGACCCGCCCGCGGCGCTTCCCGGGGCCGGGCGGAGCCGCCTTCCCGGTGCGGCGCCCCAGGGAGGTAGAAGGGTTCGAGCTGTGGCTGAATCCGGCGTGAAAACGGGTAGAGCCGCTCCGAGAACTCCCACGGGGCAGCTCCAGAGGACAAACGCGCTCAGAACCCCACCGGGCCCTTACAGAGGCAGTGAGGAAGCTTTTGAGGGAGAACATCCCCCACCCCAGCTGTAAATTGCCACCTTTATTGAGCAAAGAATTAAGAAGTTCACCTGTGTTACACTGTCCCTGTAACTCACACAAATCGCTTCAGCATGCATGCACAGGGATTTTTGTTATCCTGCACATACTTGTCGTTCAGGTAGTGCAACGACTCAGTGTTTTACCAGACAGTTGATGTACTACGATTAAAGTCAGAGTGACTGGTGCAGTAGGTCCTGCTGGGATATCCACCTGGTCTAACTTTGGACACCACATTCTGTCTTCTTAAGGTATGTCTTTCTCTCCCTATAAAACACAGAACACAGTCTTCAGAAATTAGACATTAAAGCTGATCAGATAAAGCAGCAGCCTGGGGAGCATCCTGATGAGGGCACAAATAATAGAGCTAAAGAACACACACACAAATTGTATTTGTTCACTCACATAGAAGAAACTCGAAAACTTTGGGCTTGTTCTTACATGCATTCAGTAAGTGTAACCAACAGCAAGAGAAAATTAATTTGCTTGTACCATAGTCCATTTGATTTTGCTGAAAACTGAGAAGCCTGGTATACAAATATTGCCTTCTCCAGGAATTAGCTGAACATGCTTTCAATGAGAGCGAGTTCATTTTTGCTTAAGTAGCAAGCAGCAGCTAGGATGGTTCCACAAGGGCAGAGCAGATGGAGGCTGGACAAAATCAATTGTTCAGGATGAGTATATGAATTTAGTCAGGGAGAGAAGGAATCCTCACAGGAAGATAAGGGAGACTTAGTCTTTAATACTTTTCCCAGTATGAAATTTCTTTCATACTTAGACAAGAAAAAAAAAATCTATATTTTATCTGTACTTACTTAAGTGTACCAGGAGGTTTTGGAGACATGCAGTTGCTGCTACTCTGTCTGTGTGTTTTGGAATTTCCCTATCAGCATGTACATTCTGTATTGTAACTTCAGAGATCCCCATTCTGCAAAAGACAGTTATAACAAAACCTGTTTGATGAATCTGAACTAGCATGGAAACTAATTACGTAAAGCAACAAGGAAATGGGTCCAATTCTACAAATTCATCAAACTTACTGTGTTATAAAAATCAGGTTTTAGTTTAGTTTTTAATTAGACCAGGCTGGCATGTTCTCAATATTTCAAGAAGACACATTACCAGATACTTTTTCTTTATATATTTAATAAAGTTATATATCAACAACTTTTGAATTTGTACTTTTCTTTGAGCGCTTATTTTGGCAAAGTGAAATATTAAATACTAGTACTAGACATGCATTCCTTTCAGTCAAGCTTAAGAAAACATTTACAAAGTTGACAGATAACGTTTATTAAAACATGTTATACGAAAAAGGGGCATGGGACTCTTCTATAAGAAGAAAATATTGAACAGTAACATTAAATTAAAACCATGCTGTACAATTAGGACAGCAATATTTATAGACAAAACTATCCAACCTCTGCAATACAGGCATAACATCTCACAAAATATCAAGTTATGCAAATTTACTATTATAAATGACTTGTTTAGAATAAAAACTTATAGCTCATTAAGGAAGATTCACTTGCATAAACAGTTACATTTCTGAAAGAAATATGGAATCCCATGAATAATAATAAAAAAAAGAGCAGCAATTGACAGACACAGGCTTCAAGCAAAAATCAGAATTTACAATTTAATCACATTAAAAATATACCATTTTCTTTTCCAGCATCTTCCCCTAGGGCACTGACAATTTACAGCTAATAGCTAAAGAAGCCAAGCTATCCAATGAAGCAACTAAATGACAAAAAAACAACTTTCATTTATTGTTTTGAGAAAGGTCCTAATTCTGTTAAAGCAAAATACTCAATATACTTCTGTAGGTCTCATAATTCAGACAGGTCACCTTGCTGGCACAAAGCAAAAGGGTTGAGATTACAAACCCTGATGTGCCTCTATTCTTTCAGGCTCAATAATACAAGGCCGTCAAGGATTGGTTTTATAATGAGAAACACAATACATCAGCCTTTGATCATCTGCCTTGCTCATGATACAGAACAGTTTCTCAAATTCAGACACACCTCAGATGAAAAAAGCTGAGACCAAAAACTGTACTGACAGTACCTTCTAGAGTCTACCTGCTCACTCATAAAACAAAGAAGGTAAAGTTTAAAAAATGAAACAACAAAAAAACACACCCCAAAACAACAGTGGTATCTGAAATAAAAGAACCTCCTACCTCAAAAGGGTTTGATATACACCTAAGCAACCCTGCTAACAGTTGAATTTTTCAGAATGGCAGTTACACAGATTCCATGGTAATTAACATCTGAGTTACAAAATGGAATGAAAAGGAACTTAGCTGTAGTATCATCAAGTATTCTTACCACTGCTAGGACAATGAATGGCTTCACAGCAGCAGGAAATTCTGAAAGCCTCCTGTGTGTACAATGATGCTGGTTTTCAGAAGACACTTTACTACAGCCAAAAGCCACATTATTGAAGGTAATGAAGCATAAGGGAAGATTAATGAAATTCATTGTATACATACGCATTCATATTTTATATATATATATATATGGATCACTTCCCTCCTCCCCACAAACAAGAAATAATTTTTTGTACCTTGAACAAGACCACTCCATTAGCAAAGATTAAGAGCCTGACAGAAGCCTTGTCTGTGTATCTTGGCTATGTAGAACTGCAGTGGCACCAGTGACAGGGGCTGCAGGGGGGATGAGTGGCCAGAGCTTCTGAGCTGCCCTGTGCTAGTCAAGTGGGGTTCAGCCTGCACCAAAACAGATGTGGACAATCCACTGCATGCCAAAATCTCAACCAGAGGTGTGCATGTTGCCTCTGTTTAAACATATTTAAGGAAGAGTGGCAGCTGCTAGCAAGAGGTGCAGGGAGACACATACAGAGAATATACTCCTGGGGACATGTGGAGAAACTGAAGAGCTGCTCTTGGGAAAATACCTGGAGAAGTCACTGAGGATATGTATAGACATACTCACAGAAGGACACGCTCTGTGTCTGAGATTTACTTTTGAGAGGACTTTGGCCTACAGCTAAGCCATGCCAGAGCAGTACACCTCTGAAGTAACTGAGGCCCACAGGAGAGCCAGACTGGAACAGACCCATCCCTGAAGGGACTGTGGCCCGGCGTCACCATGAACAGTGACACTAACCAGCCCAGAGCACCAGAGGACACCCACTAAGAAATGAAGAGCATCAGACAAGGCAGTGTGCATACGAGCCCAACCTCCTGCGTGACCCTCACCTCACTAAAGGAAACGGCAGGAAATGCAACTCTTGGTGAAAACAAGGGAAACTGAGACTACAAAGGAAGGGAGGAGAGGTGTTAGACTTAAGCTGAACCTGAAGCAGGGAGAGGAAAGATGTTTTTTTAAGTGTTTAAGTAATTTTTTGTTATTTTTTCCCCCCAATACCTGAAATGGCGATTAGAAGTTTGTCAAAGGGCAATACATTGAACTCAGGAAAAACACCACAAGACAACTGTTTCACCTGTGCCATGCAAAAGTAAGGATTTTAGACATGTATCTGAAGCTGCCCTTAAATCATTGAACCTCTCAACTTGATCTCATGACAATCAGATCAGTATTTTCCTGCAATCAATTGGTTTCATGTAAATTAACATCAGCCAAGTGCTTCAAGATCAGTGGAGCAACATTTGTTGGACTTTTAAGACAATGCCATAATATGGGGTAAAACAGCTATAGGCAAATACTAAAAGGTTACTATGCATGCTAAGTCATTAAAAAAGGACATGGTTCCATAATATGATCTACTGGACCTGCTATAAAACCTTTAAAGTGTCTCTCGCAGTACAATTTATTTTAAAGCTTTATTTCAAAGTAATCTAACTGCAAATAGAAGTAATGTTTAACCTTGAAATATCCCATATAAAAGTCATTCCAAGCTGGTAAAAGAAACAGTTTTGCTGGCAGCTCTGTAGGATGGTCTGGGTTTGACAGACATATTTTTTGCTTGACCATGGTTTTCAGACTGGTGTTTCTGTCCAGCCTTTTTTATGGTTAAATGGGAAGAGGCACTCTTAACCTTTTTATGCAAAACTAAAGTGACAATTTCAAAGGGGCTGAGAACTAATGTAATATACAAGATCATTCTTGAAATGAGTATGTGAAGGAACACCCTGGATGTATTCAAGGCCAGGTTGGATGGGGCTCTGAGCAACCTGGTCTAGTTGAAGGTGTCCCTGCCCACAGCCGGGACACTGGAACTAGATGATCCTCAAGGTCCCCTTCCAACCCAAACCATTCTATGTTTGTGTGATTCTAATGCCTTCTCTCAAACGTGATGATGGTACTTGCAGAAATGACACCCTATATGTGGTAAGGCCTTCGAGAATGGAAAAATAGGGCCACAGAGTGCAAGAACCCTTTCCACTACACTCATGTAAACAGG